CAAAAAATATTTTTAAGCACTTTAAAAAATATCTTAACTAAGCAGGGTTGGAAAGTTTTTGACAATTGGCGGTTTTATCTTGTTTCAACCGTCATGCCAAAAGAAAAACTTTTAGCATTGTTTTTGACAATTGTGTCAAAAATCATGAAGTTTTGAATCAAGTAAAACGAATGGCGTTTTCATACGATACGGACTGACAATACGCCGAAAAAGATTGGGGTTGAATTAATTGTGAAAACGCTGAATAGAACAATGTGAGCTGTGTCTTTTTATATAATTCGTAGCGAAAATCAACACGGTAAAGGAAAAATTTCATTTTGAAAAAGGGAAAATTAAGCACTTTTTAAAAACATCCAATGGAAAAAGCACCTTTAAGGGCTTTTAAAAAACGACAATCGAAAATAAGCACTTTTTAAAAACGCTACGCACCCTGCAGTACCCTCATAGGCATGATTTGTTCTGGGACATGGAGGACTTTGTGACTCTACAGATTTAACGTGCGTCAGTCACCATTTACTTCACGGGAGTCTTCGGCCGGCGGGGATTGAACCCTCGATCTCTTGGACATGGGCCCAGTGCCCTACCAACCGGGCTATCCCGGCCCATGAACAAAACTCAAAGAACGCATTTGTAATGCGCTTGCGTCGGTGACTGCACAAATATTTCAGAATGTATGGCGTGAAATGGACTACCGCCTAGATGTTGTCCGTGTGACCAAGGGAGGTCACGCAGAAAATCTGTGACGCATGTATACAAAATTTTGAAGTTCCTTCTACATTTTGCGTAAATTTTATAGACAAATTCTTTTTCATTAAATAGTTATAGCTGTTTTTAATCGCTATATTCATTTAGAATAATCCTGTATTTATTTAAGCAACTATGAGAGAAATAATGCAACTCTTAAAAACATGAAATTTTAAGTAAAAAATACGAAAAGTTTGGCACCACTTTCTAGAAACTGTTTACGTGCAGATTCTATAATTGTTTCATTTTTATAAATTTGCTACGGAAAGTAGACAAAGTGATTATCTTGTTTAATTTCACAAATAGATTAGAAAATTTAACGCAACTAACTAGATTAATTTTCAAAGCACACATTTTTGACTCTTATTTTTTTTTCTAAAACATCTGAGTGCAATATTTCTAGAAAAAGTGTATAAATTTGAAAAATGTAGTTATGTAAAAAGAATATATGCTTAATTTATATCTGTTTTTAAGCAGTTCTTATAATTTCCTAAGAATATGTTTCTTTATACAAACTAATTTATAATTTGATAATAGTAAAATAAATGTGTAGTGACAAACATGAACTCTAAAACTATCTAATAAACGCCTAAGGCTGCTATTTGAGTAGAAAATATAGTCTAATTTTGAGTAAAAATTATGTCTTTTTTGTCTTATAAAATAATTTTTTGAATGCAAGAAACAGGTCGACACGTTAAATATAAGATAAAAGAAATTTTAAAAAAAATTAAAAGAATGTAAGACACAAGTTAGTTAAATTATTAATCTAATTGAAATTATGTTTAGTAAAAAAAATTAAATTACCTGTTAGTTATTTTTCTTAATACTGACCATATAGGTATTCCCTAAGTTTACCCTAGTTTTAAGGCAGACATTCATTTGAAGCAGTAAACATTTTTAGAATCAAGTAAATTTCCAAACATGTAACGATTATAATCTTTAATTGAAACCTCATAAAATTTCTTTTAAACCTGATGATCATCGGGGCATACTGGATTAATATAACACTTTTAGCTATTAAATTTTATTTTAAGTTGTATATTTACCTGATTAACCTTTTATGTCATCGTTGTGACCGTCCAATTTAAAAGAAGCAAAAATATGGTAACAAGGTGCTTCCTATTAGATTGAAGCATGGTGGTCAATATTTTAAGTAACTTACTTCTTCCTACAAATTTGTTTAATTTAACGAACACATTTCGTGGATTACTTCACACATAAAAAGAATACAAATTTATTTTTTTAATCTTATACCTACAGGGTGCAATTTCAATGCACTTTATGTTACCTGCAATAGAATTGTATGAGATTATTTTAAGTTCTGTTATCACAAATGTGTGACCCCATAGTCACATATAGCTGGAAATTCATTTCCTCCCAAACGCATGTTTAAAGTACAGTCGGATTTCTATTTAACGAACTTTCATTTTGAGAAATTCTCTATTTTTTGATTTTTTTTTCGAGGAACCAAGGAACATTTTGGAAAGTTCTTCGTAAAATAACTTCCAAATAGCGAAGTGAAATTTCTCTTTAACGAACTTTTCTTTGAGATCCACTTTATGTCCCAAAATATTTCAGAACGTTTCAAATTTGTTAACGCATTTAATGGGGGAAAATGACCATGAATTGATTTTCGCAGTCACTTAACTTTTAGAGAAAGCGGTCAAATCCCTTTTCCTTTTTGTTTGCATTTCATACCATGCCACAAATCAATTTACGAGAAAGCATAAGAGAAATTTCTAAAGCATGGAGCTGTGATGTTACAGATTGTACTATTCGTAACAATTTTGCTAAAGCTGGATTCTTAGTCAGCGCGGAGGATGATATATTCCTTTAGAAGAACTTAATGTAATGAGGGCTACAGCTAAGAGAGAACCACGAAAAAAACGATGGTGTACTACTGATTAATAATTTTCTTTTTATTGATTCTGAAGCTGCAACCACGGAAACATTAACTGAATCGGATATTTTAGGACAGTGTGAAAAATAAAAACAATATAGCAATTAATTGTGAGGAAGATGTTGAAGCAATCACAAAACCTTCATATGATGAAATGTCGAAATCATTTGAAACAATTCGATAGTAGATACTAATTTACAAGATAAAGGTGAATCCATTGCTATTTTAATTATGTCTAGTGTTTATGAATTTAAAACCGGTTTTGTGTTGTTTAAGTTCTTCAAATTGTGATTTTCTATTTAACGAATTTTCCATATAAGGAACTTTTTGTCAGAAATTAAGCTACTTCGTTAAATAGAGGTCCAACTGTGTCTCAACCCAATTCGTTGATATTGGTTGTGATATGCTGTTTCAGATAACCTAGATAAAGAGGAGGGGGGGATGAATAACTAGTCCTTTTACGTAATCCTTCAGGAAGAAATCAAAAGTCGGGACTTATGGGTGGCCATTGAGTAAGAGGCATTTTGTAGATCGCGGCTCGTTCAATCCATCGTTGAGGGAGACATTCATCAAAGTAATCTTGAACGTAGGCTTAGCAGTGATGTAGTGCACCATCCTGTTTAGTTATATCAACCAAGAATTAACAAATTCAGAAAAGTTGCTCATGTTCCCGTGACAGTTTGCTCTCTTTCTGAACATTGGAAAGAACGCATTTACTTTAGAGAAATCTCTCGCGTGTTGTTCTGAGAGTTTGGGATTTTTTATTCCTGCAACTGTGATATCAACCGTGAGTTAACAAATACAGAAAAGTTGCTCATGTTCCCGTGACAGTTTGCTCTCTTTCTGAACATTGCAAAGAACGCATTTACTTTAGAGAAATCTCTCGCGTGTTTTTCTGAGAGTTTGGGATTTTCTATTCCTGCAACTGTGATATCAACCGTGAGTTAACAAATTCAGAAAAGTTGCTCACGTTTCCGTGACAGTTTGCTCTCTTTCTGAACATTGCAAAGAACACATTTATTTTAGAGAAATCTCTCGCGTGCTGTTCTGAGAGTTTGGGATTTTTCTATTCCTGCAACTGTGAGTTAACAAATTCAGAAAAGTTGCTCATGTTCCCGTGACAGTTTGTTTTTGAAAAAAGAAGAGGCCGAACACTCTCTTTCTGAACACTGCATAGAACACATTTACTCTAGGATAATCTCTCCGCTTGTTGTTCTGAGAGTTTGAGATTCTCTGCTCTCCATAAACGTATATTTTGCTTGTTGACCTTCCCACTGACGTGGAATGCTGTGTCATTGATGAAGATGAAAACTAAGCGGAATCGGGAATAATCCCTATCGAATCAAGAATAATCCCTATCTAATGAAGAATAATCCCTATCGAAGAACTTGATTCATGCGTTTGGGCGGAACTTAGTGCGTGGTGTGACTATTTCCAACAAAACAAAATAATCCCATAGAATTCTTTTGCGGGTAACATATAATATCCTAGATTGTTCTTGATTTATAGTGCATTGAAACTGTATATTTCTTTATGAATCACCCAATATTTTTTTTTAAATGCATGCATTTTAAACATAACTTAGATAACAAAAAAAGTGTTCTATTCTAAACTGATAGCAAAGTTCTGAACAGTTAAACAGATAACAGAGTCCTTTACTGCTTAACTAATAATGAATGCTTCTACAATCAAATTGATAATGAAGGTTATTATCCTTAAATTGATTATGAAGGCCTTAACTGCTAAATTGGTTACGAAGTCTTACTTTTAAATTTATGAAGGCTATTACCTTTAAATTGATTATGAAGGCTTTTATTGTTAAATTGGTTATGAAAACTTTCACTGTTAAATTTATGAAGGCTACTACTGTTAAATTAATTATGGCCTTTACTGTTAACAAGCAAATTTGAAGATAAATTATCGGTCCTTTTTGAATACTCTGCATGCAAAAATAGTTATAATGTTTTTATTCAGAAAAAAATATAATTTAATAATTATAAAATTAGTAACTTATATTAAAAATAAAAAATATAATTACTTAACGTTTAATTATTATAATTAAAATTATGATATTAAACATTTTGTAAAAGATAGGTGACCATAATGTGATTATTTTCTGAGAAATTCTAAATACTTTTAATAATAATAACAATTAAAACTATTGTATGCAAGAAAAATTTCAATCTATATTGTTACACGCCAGAATTTTTTTTTTTTAGAGAGTTTATGCTTGGGCAAGCATTACCGATATCGTAAACATACTTATATATTCAATATTTATATACATCTACGCATTTTTCTTTAGCAAAATATCTCGGATTATTCCTTTGTAGTCATGGGATATATTGTTAGAGCATTTCAAATTCTGCATTCCTTTATGTTGGCGACCTTGAAAACGGTAAGGAACAACATAGTTGTAAGCACATTAAAAATAACACAGGGGAAGATGAGAGGAAAAATAGAATAAAAAATCACTCTCTAATAAAACGATAAAAATCGAACAAAAACTGAACAGGGCTTTTTTTCTCCCTTTTCTCGCCGCAATTTCTTTTCCATATGAGTTGAGTTGACACAGACACGCTTCTGAACGCCGGAATTGTTTCGGTAACCATGGAAACAACGCTTTTGTGACGATTTTCTCTTATCCGCAGCAAATCCCAGAAGAACTACTTTTCGTACTCTCTTGTCGTACGTATTCTTTCACATTGAACTTGGTTTCTTGGTTTGGCTGGTAGCTCATACGATATTTTAGCTCCCTATACGACGAAAGAAAGAAAGAAGAAAAAATAAATTAAAAAAGAAAAAAAAAATATCAAATCACGTTTATTCTATTTTCGCTTTTGAATAGTATACTCATGTGAGTTGTAAGAAGCAAGGAAGAAATTCTATTTTGAATATTTTTGATAGATTTATGTGAAAGCTCGTATATACGAAAATTTGATGACACGGAATATTGCCTCAAGCATGGCAATAAAGAATATATTTATGAATGGTAGAACCCAAACCGAAAGTTTTTTTTCTTCCTTCTACTGTTTTTTTTAAATTTTTTTTATTGGAATTTCAAACTATCGAATATGCATTAAAGTCATCTGGCACTTCTTTAAATTATCATTTAAAAATATTAAAGATTAAAATCATCATATTGTAGATGAATTGGTACTTTTCCGTTAGCAAATGTCGCCAATTGTCAACCAAATGCGAGCCAGGTTGCCAAGCGAAGTGAATGACAAAACAGTCAACGGAATAAAAGTCGAAAACGTTCAACTATAAACAAATATTTATTAATAGTAAGCCAAACAAGTTCAACTATAAGCAAATATTAATGAATTTTAAACAAAACAGTTTTACCCAAAATTAATGATTATGATTTCAGAGAATAGAGCACGCGGCCCTAAACTAACATTACCCTTATGGTTGTCAGAAATTTGTAGGAATTCTACATTATTTGGCGATTTTTCGCTTGCGTCCGGCTAACGGAAAAGTACCGATGAATTTTTCCATTACATTTTTATTTTAATTTCTAAAAGAATCATAAATATTAACACAGTTTTTTAAAATTTTTTAGAGTAATAATGGTTTTTAGGTATTTCCATTTCAGCATGCTCGTTAAATAAGTTTGAAAATTGTGTACTTTTTCTTTTAAATAAAATTAAAATGACTAAGAGAATCGGTATTTAATTTCGTTATAATAGTTTCACATAAATAGAATCATTTATATTTCGCGTTATAATGTACGTATCAGAGACAGATTTAAAATTAGGACGATGTATTGTGTCTAACTTACACCCCATTTACACGAGGACTGAAAACAGTCTTCGGACGTCCCAAACCTAAAAAAGGCTTGAAGAATTTACATGATCCCCTGAAGGTAAAAACTCCATCTTGCAAGAATAGGCGAAAAAAATACTATTTGACACAGGGAACCAATTATCATGCAACTGTTTCCCGGAGAAGACACTGGTAGTTGTCTTCACCCAATAATGCTTGCACCTGAAAGTAAGTTAGAGGAATCGAAAGTTCAATAACAGGCTTTCGTTTCTTCTATGACCTTACGCGGCTGATATCAGATCTCGTGTAAATGGGGAGTTAGGCATAGAAAAAGTAAGGAATCGATGGTCAATTAAATTATTAAGCTTACCTAGCAACTGCCATGAAAGCCAGTTCAACGTTGGTACCGGTTTTGGCACTTGTTTCCATAAAAGTAACTCCATATTCCTGTAAATAACTCAAATGTAAATAATCTGTGCATTGTTGAAAGTGAGAAACATGATTTCAAAATTTTACCTTAACAGAAATGTGTATTACATTTAAAATAGCGACCTTAACTATCCTTTGTTGTCAGTATGTTGCTCTGATGTTTTGTTACCAAGTACCGAAAACTAATTTTTTGTATAAAAGTACAATACTTAACCAGGGCCTGACTTAGACTAATCGGGGCCCGGGGCAAAAACTTTTTTGAGGGCCCCCCTCTACTACGCTACTTCAGTAATGAAGAACCGAACTTGTATTTAAATTTTTCAAGAAAATTGACTAGAACCTAAAATAGCTATTAAGTCCTCCCTCTTTCTAATGGTCAGACGAAATATCGTTCTGTCCATTTTGATGATTTTCTGACAATTCTATGTCCATCATGCCGAATGCATCTAGCTTTTCTGATAGTTAACTTTGTCATCTAGCTGCGAAAAATTCGTATCCTTGCTGCCATAAGGGCAGAATTCAGCTAAATTTTCGCAATTGCGATGACTCAATTAAAGCCTATCAGAAGTCTGTATTTTTTTAAACATATCGCATTTTGCGATTTATAAAAAATACAGGTTTTTGATTGGCCCAATTTGTAAATCGTAATTGCGAAAATTTAGCTGAATTCCGCCCAAGAAAGCCATGGATTTACGAAATATAGACTGTGTTCATGCGATAGATTAACGAAGAAGAAGCCAACATAAAACTGACGGATTTTACACTCTACTGATATTTTGTCTGAAAAAATTTCATTAAAGAAGGAAACTTAAAATAAACTTTCTATCCGATTTGGAGCCCCCCCCCCATGAAGTGGGGGCCCGTGGCAACTGCCCCGTATGCACCAGCCTTAGTCAAGCTCTGTGCTTAACACTAACGTTTTATTCAAAGATATAGTGCGTTTTGCTTGGTTTGTAGGTACGTACGAGTATTTAAAACAATGTTTAATTTGTTGCTAACATACCACTACCAAAGCATTGTTGGACTGTGACGTACTGGATTTGTGGATATTGACTGATAGCAAAAGCTCAATTGAGAGATCGGTCACGGATCAAATGGGAAAAAATATCATTTCCAAATTGACACAGATCGGGCCTGTGTGCTTGCATTTGATTCCATCTTATGTGAGTGTCTGTGGACTGCTGATTTGTTTTGCTTGTGAAATTCTCATGGCTCATTTCTCAAAATTACAGCTTTCGATGTTCATTCTCTAAACTAAATACTCCTTAGAAGATTCTCCCAGTTCATGCATGGTGCCCTGGATTGTCTCTGCTGGTCTCAGAGTTGATTAGATGGCTAGACTTAGTCACTTTAAAAAATTTAACTGCTCAGACATCACGTCTTCCTGTCACACTCACTGGTTCAGAAACTTTTTTTTTTACGGCAGGCACTGAACTTTCGTTCTTACCTCGGAAGATGCCGGAAGTGTTGCTCATTTAACGCTACCAGTGAACCTGTGAACCCAAGTCATGGAGGCGAGAAACACTTAANCATAAAATAAATGTACAAACACAGTATCTAATAGAGTTTTATTTTAATTAACAGAAAATTATTTTTGTGGGGGTCGATGGAGATTTCAAAAAATATATATAGGGGTCGATGATCAAAAAAGTTTGGCGACCCCTGCTCTAACCCATGATCAGAGTACCACTGAACACATGTTACCTCAGTACCGTGTCAGTGCGGGCCGGGTGCGGAATTTGCATCGATCATATATAGTTGGGATTCGAATCCGGTTTCCCCTGAGACGAATACATGATCTCTGATTTTCCATCCCTACCATTTGTTAGCTTATAAGTTTTAATAAAATTTAACCATTTGCGATTTTTAAAAGTTTATCTAATTCAATATTATCAATCTGTTTTGCCATCTTTGTTATGCGTTCTACTGATGAAGATGTACTAAGGTTGTCCCTGAAATGTGTATAGGTTAGTAAGATTTTACTATTTATGATTCTTTAAATGTTTTTAGTGCATCTTAAATTAACCAAGAAACAAACCTTTGCATACATAAATTTTAAAATAACAGAAAAAAAAATCTAAAATTTAAACAAATCTTTCCGTTTTTGTTACATCCTAATAAAAAGTTAAACTACAAACAAAGCAACTTTCTGTAGTTCGAATTTATTTATGCAATTGGCTATGAAAAATTATTCCTAATTCTAGAAAACCTGCATATGATAATCTTTATATTGCCTTTAACAGTTAACTAAAACCATATTAAATGTGTCGTGATTTTCATTTTTTTACCTCCTGTGTATTGTGAAAGGTTTCAAATAAATATTTTGAAATAAAATCAAACTGCTCTTGTATTTTTTAAAAAAAAAAGCCTTGTCAGTTTTGACGAAACTCTTTTACTAGTACTGGACAAAAATATTACAAGATGAAATCTTAGTAGAATTTCTGCAACAAAAGAAAAAAAAATAGTGTTGAATAAAATAAGCGATAAATATTGAAACATTTCGATTGAATTGGATTATATTCAATCCCTTGCTTATCCAAACATGCGACTTAATCTGGAAGTTTTTATTTTTCAAAGCTGTAAGCGAAGTAAAATAAGTATTTTTAAGATATATTATACGACTCGTATAAAAAGAAACTGTTATGAAGAAAGACTGATGGACTAAGGTTTTTATTTTTTATCGAATTTGCTTTAAATGAGGAGAACTTGTGTACTTTGTTTAACTATATTTTTTAAAGTTGAAAAAAATTGCATAACCAAATGTAATCAAATTGCGTTGTAACAAATTTAAGTTATTTTTCATTGTACGAAGTTAACACAAATTTTTCTATGATGGTTGAATTTTAGCTTATAAAAGATTTTGCGGTGTGTATCGATATTTTTATTGATTTTACTGTTCAAGTAGCTAAAATTTTTTTGCACAACAAATTGTCTTTAGAATTTTGCTATTACAGATTAATATGGCTTTAAATTTATAAACCTATGACTGAAAGGTTTTATTTATTATTTTTTTTAACCTATTCTAACTTCGTTTTAACACATCATTTATAGTAACTCTTCAATAATCCCTTTAGATATTAAGCTTACGAATCTAATTCAAATCTATGACCTTCATGTCTCATTTCTAATAGCTTATTTAATTAAAATTAGTTCGCTAAAGTTGGAAAATAACAGTTTACAAATGGAAGTAGAAGATATAAAGCTATTTTATAATTCCATTAAATAGTTTCCTTTTCTATTAATTTTTTCTCTGTCCAAAAGAGCTTTAAAAGCTATTTTTCCACGTAATTATTGCTTGAAAATTAGTACTGTTTTTGTCACGGGCACGGCATCAGGCACGGTTGAGATGAAATTTCATTATTCTGGTTAATCGGAAAATGGTCAAAATTTTGCTGACGATAAATTCCGCATGTTGCAGTCAGGAAACGCTTGAAACTTGTATTGCCATCAGGCAATATTGAGATGTAAGTGCCGCAGCTAGTCAGAAAGTGGCCAAAATTTTTTCCATTTACGCAGATACAAAAGCGAGTAGTAAAACTGTAGTAAAATAATATTATAGTTTGAGTAATAAAATATCTCTTGTTAAAATTAAAATATGCATCAAGTCGCACGATATTTTTGCCGTAATTATAATAAATTTTGTAAGTGCCTAGAAACTTTTATTAGAATTAAAATATAGCACAAGTTACTCCGTTATACTTTTATTAGAATTATAGAATTTTCTTACGAGCAAATGATACAGCGTTTTTTAAGTTAGTAGACAAGTGCTTCAGATATTTCACTTATTTATTATTTCTTCAATCGACATTAAATCCGTTTTAAGACACTATTTATAGCAACTCTCCTCTAATCCCTTCACATTTAAAGTTTTTCTAATTCCTTATCCTTTCATTTCTGGTAGTTCAATTAATTAAACTGAGTTCGTAAAAGTAAGGATTCGTAAATAACATTTCAAACGGAAAATGGGAGAATTAATTTTAAGACATTAGAAGTAAGACTTTTCTCTAATGTCATTAAATAGTTTCCCCTTCAATTAATTCTTTCTTTTTTTTCTCCAAATGATCCGAAAGTAAGCTTACAGAAATTTAACGATTTAATTGCTCCTAAAATGGAAGATTAAATCCAGTTTTATTGCTTGAAAATAATTAAAAGTGTTTTAGGGTAGCAGTTTTCTTCTCCAAGAATTCGATTAGTGTTTATTTCATTAATTTTTTTTTTGTCAGTTCTTAAAAATAACTTGAAAATTTTCGGGAGCTATTTCAATATTGAAAGTTAAATAATTTAATCCTTTTATTATTATTTATTTTTATCCTATTATTTTCATTAGTATTTTTATAAAAAGTTGTTAGGAAAAAAATAACAAAATTTTGCTATACGTATTCATTGAAATTAATAATATTTTACGGCTTTTAATTACAATAATCAACTCAACTAAAATTAATTAATAAATGTATACCCCACTTGTTAAATCGAAAAATCGCTAATTAAAATCGATTAATTGATCACCGACTTCTATCGATTAAGCGATAGTCGATTTTAAAAACAAATACAAATAATAAAAGACAAATAAATACTCTTGTAATAGTTTTCTCAGTATTTAATGACTAAATATTTTTATTCGTTCAGAGTTGTTATTACTTAATATTAGAGAAATTTGTTTTAATTGCATACAATTAGAATTAAATCAAGTGTTTAGGAATTAAAACTAAAGGGAAAAAAACTGATATTGGAGTTAAATAACTGGAGAACTGAAGTGATGATATCACAAAGCACGAGAGTATTAAACAATGTTTAGAGTATTAACAATGTATTTAATGCAATGATCAGTTAAGTTTGCAGGTGACAAAATATAGTTTGGTATGAAGGGAAAAAACCCAGCAATTTATTACTATTTTTTGAAGAAAGAAAAAAAAACGAAAAGCTATTTTTTGTAATAGCTAGTTTTTGCTTCAGTGGGAATTTAAAAAAAACAAAAACATGATGCAATGTAACCTAATACTAAAATAATTTCAAACTGAATTATTAACTAAAGCCGTAATGGCTCAGGGATAGAGCGTTCGCCTTCCAGTAAGGTAAACCGGGTTTGAATTCCAGCGATGGAATTGAAACAAACAACAAATGAATTCGGAAGATTCCTCAAGCTTGCTATGATGCAACTCAAGAAATAACTAACGGTGGTATTTTATACAAATATAGCCAAATAAGGGATAACACTCCAAACCTGGCTAGCCATACATTTTATTTATGCTTGTCATATTAATTTAGTTACATTTGTTTTAAACTTACGACCTGTTAGAATTAATAAACTACAGAAAACTCTTATGAATGGTAAAATTTCGCGTTAATTTAAACACAAATCACATTAATAAAACTTCCTGGAATATTAAGCCTGTTCACACATCGCTTCGTAAGCGTAACATAAGCGGAGGGATACACCGGAAGTTTTCTAAATCTCTTCCGGATCTAGGAACCTTGTTATTGTTTATATTCAGTCAACCACCCATACGAACATACGATTCTTCATCCATAGAGATAGTAATAGAGGTTAGAATATTCTAAATTTCTCCCCCTCTGGGGATATTTCCGTATAGTGATCTGTCGCGCCAACTGCAATCGCTAAGGTGTCAAATAGATTTTAAACTTGCAAATCTTTTTAAAAGAATATATAACTGTTTGCCCGTGCGTGGTTACGAGTTATACCTTTCGAGTTGGTCCCTTTCTGTGATGTTTTTTTTAAAGTTTCGCGCGCGTCGCTGCCCTGAAGTTTCCAAGACTTGGCGATTATCCTGCTACAGATCAGGATACGGAATAGTCTTCTTGGGATTGTTTGTTTCAGTAGGTGTAACTGTTTAATGGACTGTTCCATAGGCAACTTGAGAACAGAAATAGCAAATGAACTTACTTTGGCTAATCTCTCTCCATCCTCGTACATCACTTGGCGTTCAGAGTTTGAATCTGCTTTATTTCCTATCAACATTATGACTACATCATCTTGTGCATATTCATTTATTTCTCCCAACCATGCCTGAAAACAAAGATGAGAAAATAAATAAATATTTTAACAATATTTGTTTTTAGAATATTACACACAAATTTCATGATAAAGATCCTATTTGATATCCTAAATCTGTTTCGGGGACAGTAATGGTTATAGAAATGGAAAGAGAAACTCTCTTTCCATTTCTATTCTATTTCATAAAATATTGCTTGTTTTTAGAACATTGCACACAAACTTTAGGATAAAAATCCCATTTGATACCCTTAATCTGTTTTGGGGACAGAAATGGTTATAGAAATGGGAAGAGAAAGATGTGTATAAACCAATTGGAAAATCCAGCTTTTTGCAAACGGCTGACTAAAAGAAAACAATTACTATTTATCAGTGTGTATAAGCTAATTGGAAAATCCGGCTCTTTGCAAACGTCTGATTAAAGGACGTCATATTGCACTCATCATTGAAGCTTATTGAAAAATCAGGTTATTTGCAAACGGTTAACTAAAGGACGACTATTAGCATTTATCAATGTGCATTAGCTGAATGCTAAATCTTGCTCTTTCCAAACGGCTAACGATTATTTGCAATGCGCCTACAAGGCTCATAGCGGTAAGTGCTTTCTAATGCCATCAGCCGGATTTTCCAATTATCTTACGATTTGTATAAAAGCATATGAATAAAAGTATATGAATGAAAGCATAGTTGTCTTGGAAAAAAAACAACGATTTTTTCACTTTTCTTCCAACTAATTTATAATATGAAATATTAAAGTACTTTAGTGTATTTTAAGAAAGAGAAGTGTTAAAATTTTTTATATCCTGTCTAATTACTTCGATTCCTTCTTTTCTTCTATTGTCATTGAAATATGTCCATACATTATCGACATGTTATATCATGGACAAATATTACACAGTGAGACAATATTAAACCTCATAAAAGTGCTGAAAAGTTTGAGAACTCCTGAAGCACATAATGTATTTGATTTTTTTTTGTAGGAAATGCGTAACGTATCCTTAAATCTCTAACAATCCTTGTCGAAGTTTAAATGTAATTTTAAGTAAGGGAAACATAATCCATCATTTTTCGAAGCTTAAAATTCTTCTACGAAATACTTGCTTTAAATTATGTTGAATTTGACAAAAAATTTTCTGTTTTGACAGGGGCAACTTACTTCCCCGTAAAACTGTCAATAAGAAAGACTGAAGAATCGTTTGACAAGAAATATTGTAAATGTGTTGTAACACTTTCAAAATAATATTCTTTATAAATAATATAAAGAAGCATTATCATGTAATAATCGATCAAATCCACGATTTAGTCGTAAGCATATATTAAATCGGCTAAGCTCTCGTCGTTATTTATTATAATTCTTTTGAAATTTTAACATTGCGTACATTAAAGTTTGGCGTAATGTTCTAAGACCATTCGAAAAAAAATTGTTCCGTAATACCAAAATGTATTAATTTATGATTTTTTTAAAATTTTTTTGTTGAGTTAATGTGGATATGGTCACTTTTTTGACACTGGTCTGCCCAGTTCCAGACAGTTTATTTGCCCAACAATTTTCCTGACTTGTCATTCGCCCGACAATTTATTTTTCTAACGGGTACATTTGCCTGACAGTGTCCGCATGTAACAGAAATAAGTATAAGATTCTCTGTTGGCAACAATTTAACCTTTTAAATAAGGCTGATCTACTTATGGCAAGAAAGTGCAAGCGATATTTTATAACTGTTTATGCAGTAACCGCTTATGTTGGAAACGCTCTATGTTGTGAACATTTTGGGTAACATTAAAATTTTTTTTTTAGTCTTCGTTCTTTTCTTTTACTTATTATTTTTTGCTGTTTTTATTCTATTTTTTTAAAAAATTCCTTTTGTTTTATAGTTTTTATTATTCTTTTTGCATTTTAATCCTTTTTCAAAATTTTTTATTTCGTTTTTCTTTTAAAAAAATTTTCCTGAATTTTTTAAACATTTTGTATTTGCTTTTTCGCTACTTGATTACAATGAATTCTCTGTTATGCAATCACATTACAATGGAATATTGTGAGCAATACCACGCAAATAGTCCATAGTTGTACGATTGCTCCAAATGGGTCTTTTTTTTTTTTTACACGATATAGCATGATAGTGGAAACTTTTTAAGTACTTCGCAGAAAGATTTATATCATTTCATTGAATAAACTTCTGTCAAAAGAATTGTGGAAGAATCGATCTAGGGGAAAAAAGAAGAGTGTGAGGTTCTTTTAACTTTACTTGAATGTGCATCATGTGTTATTAGAAGTTTCTAAATTTATATTCTATCCACCGAAAATGATATTTTAACATTGCCTCTCAGCAATCACATTGTTTCTTATACAGTAAAACCTTTCGGGAGAGATCACTCTCCGTTGATGGAGGTTGGTCGTTCTTAGAGGTTACCTCCATTGACTTCAAAATTGTTATCGATGGTATATGATTTTTTTGCAAACTATTTTAATTTTAGTCAGTGACATTTTCCTGGTGCGGAAGTGCCAATTTTGTTCTCATCATGAAAAGACGGATCCATGAATAAAATTTAGCGTCGATAAAAATTATCCCAACTAATATAATTATGTATAAAAACAAATTTACCAAACATGAATGATGAAGCTATTATAAATAAATAAACAATTATGTTTTCTGTTTAAGTTCGCATTTAATTTTATATGGTGGAATTTTTAATTGTAGTTTCTTCAAAACAGATGTTTCAAACACTCATCATTTTTAACTCATCCATTTTTATTTGTTCAATCAATAGTAGAAAACTAATTAAATGCATAAATATTATTATAAATATGTGATAAAATAATGTCCTTTGCATGGCGAAAATTCTTTGTGATTTTACACTAAATACCCAGTAGCCAAAGAGGCAAAAATTGCATATTGTAGCAAATAGCAAAATAATTATAATAGATATCAACAATAATTATGTTATGACTAAAATTGGATTTGTTTTAAAAAATATTTTTACTTTTCACTGAGCTTAGCATAAAACTTGTGTTTTTTGGGGCTATTTTTGCCCCAGTCTTCATTGTACCAAAGTAGCTCTCCTAAAAACTTTGACCACGAAATGAGCTATAATAATATACAAAATTTAAAATGAGCTATAAAACTATTGCTTTTTTTTATTCCTAAATAAATTATGTCATTTAATGATAGTATTATGGCAATAATACGACTGGATGCAATTTGTTTCTCTGTTTTTTTGTGAAGTGTTATCATTTGTTATTAAATTTTGCCTTATGATACTATTCCGTATCATAAGGCACGATACTGAAAAATAATGAATATTTACATAAAGTTATTTTTTGCATGGAATTGTCTATAGAAAAACGATTATAATTGTGCGTAAAAATTTTCCAATTCTTTAAAAAGTTCTCGAGATATAGTGAAATACGCTAAAAGTAAAATTAACATTAAAGTGTCCAAACTTTGGAGCGCCCTCCTGACAAAATTATTTTGACCATATTTTCTAGATTGCGGCTACCATTTATATTTTGAGGGTCAGAAATACGAATCCATCGGAAAAAAAAGTCACGCTTATTCAGAGAAAGTACGTTTCTTTGTTTGATTTCGTTACTTAAAATACAGTCTGCACTTATTAATTAGCATATTTGAGTTTTCCCCCTTAAACCATTAAGATTGATTCCTAGAACGTGAAGATCAGATCATCATTAGATCAAAAGTTATTCAGGGTGGTCCTTTTTTTTTCATTGCTTAACAGTTAATCTTTTATTTCTCTTTTTGTAAAACATAATTAATACTAATGATTTATTTAAAAAAATTAAAATCAATAAAATATTTAAAAAAACAGGTTAAATATATTTAATTTTGATGCGTGAAAATTAATGTATCTCGATATTATGTAACTAAAACCTAAGCAACATTTCATACCTATTTTCAAAGCTTCGCTTTAATTTTAAGTTTCAATTTTTTGTATAAAATGAAACACTGCTGCTTGTACCCCACCATAGATTCGAGTTAATACTTATGTACTAGTGAGTTGGATTTGAATATTTGCAGTGGTAGACACACTACAGTACTCCCCCACCAGAATTATAGCTGTTGTAGATTTCGATGAACTGGATACCACTAGTTGATTCATTGCTATTTTGTGAGTAACCGGGAGAGCTGCATTAAGATCACCGTACTTTTTGAGTGCTGATCGTGAGAGCTGTATTAAGTTCACGGTCGTGATCGCTCCTGTGTTGCCTATAGCAGTCGAGTGAATACGTTGTACGCTATGTGTGATCGGGACTGAGTAGTAACAGCGCTAGGAGGTGAATAATGTCGCAGTCACATGTAGCAAGTGAACCGTTCAATATGAACCATCCATCGAAGTAGACGTGTTCAAATCGAAATGGGAGTTTCTGTCAAGGTAGGCGTTTTCCGATCACGTCCGGGTCACCAATGTGGGGAAAATAGTTATCGGCCATGTCAATTTCATTTTTTTTTGAAAAAGGTACAACATCATAGAAACGTGTGTTAACATGTCTTATATACTAGTGAATTGGAATTATATTTTTGTAGTGGTAGATACACTACAAGTACAATACTTTTTTTGCAGGGATAGGTATTGAGTGACAAGGGGGCTCCGTGTTTTCCTTTTCTCAGATATGGAAAGATTTATTTTTTTGAGAAACCAGAAATGGCATTGCTCAGATATGTGGATCGTCGAATGGTTTTCCTGGAAATTACTTCAAAGGGAAGGAATCTTGTTAACAAAATCTGCGAATGTCAATAATGCATTGTATTCTTTCTTAGCAGAGACTAATATAGGGAACATAGATATAGGAAACATAGATATAATCTGCCTTTATATCTATGTTTCTTAGTAATCAGACTAGATGTTTGATGAAACGAATGTCTACTACAACAGACCAAAGTGATATATACAATCAACTGAATACCTTTGATCTCATATTACACCCCTCTCGTCTCAGTATTAATTCCTTTTTCTGAGGGAAGTAAAAATTCCCAGATAGAATACCTCTTTTCTTCAAGGAAAGAGGGAACTAAACTCAATCGCTTCCCTTATCAATTTGTTTAAAAAAAATGCAAAAAATCAACACATTTTTTTAATATTTCATTAATAAATACTAGGAACTAAAACAAAACATAATACACAAGTTTCAAGTTGAAATTTCAATTTTTTTTAATGTGTAAAAACATTTAGTTCACTATCCTGAGTAGTCTCGGGCAAATGAAAAAAGTTAAATATAAGTCTTTGTAAACTCATGTTTGTGAAAATTGCAACACCATGAAGGACTTACGCGAGTGAGCTGAAGTTTTCAAGAAATGCAAAGTAGAGCATAATATGCAAATGATTAGAATTTCAGACCCGTAGCGCATGCGTATGCTGAGCAGTGCCCTCTGAACGGTGGCTGGATCCGAATAAATAGACGGCTGTAGAGAGGCGTGTATGATTATTGGTGGTTATCTGCTAGTGGTAAACGTTAGCTCAGACGTTACTTATGCCTCTTCGACGAAAGAGAGCGAGATTTCAACAACTTACGGAGTTTGAAAGGGGGAGAATCATCGGCCTTCGTGAAGCTGGATTGTCTCATCGTGCAGTAGCCGCTCGTGTGCAGCGTAACAGCAGCACAGTGATGCATGTTTGGGAGCAGTGGACGGACGAGTGTCAGACAACTCGGAAATCTGGGAGTGGACCCCGAAATGTCACGTCAGCTCGCTATGATAGACACCTGCATGGGGCTGACAGACCGCACGGCTCCCTCTAGACAACTGGCAGCACAGTGGTTCATAGCTACAGGTGTTTCATTGTGTGCTTCATCAATTCGTAGACGTCAACTGCAGCGTGGACTGCGCGCAAGGACTCCTTTATACAGGATCACCCTCACGCGAAACCATAGCCACCTGCGGCTACAATGGGCCAATCAGCATAAGGACTGGCGTGCTGATTGGCAGCATATCGTGTTTTCTGACGAATCCCGCTTTAATTTGTGGTACCATAATGGCCGCATTCGTGTCAGACGCTATGCCTGTGAACGCCACCTTCCGGAGACAACAACCGGTACAGCAGTGAAGTTTTACAGCCCCAAGCTGTTCCCTTCTTTCAAGCCTTGCCAGGCGCTGTATTTCAACAAGAAAATGCCCGTCCTCATATTGCTAGGACTGTTCAATCCTTCCTTGCATTGCGGCAGGTACAGCTTCTTCCTTGGCCTGCGTATTCCCCGGATACGTCACCGATTGAACATGTGTGTCATTTCGTTGGTCGGTGCCTCGCGTCCTGTTGCTTCTACAGACGAACTTTGGGTACGCATACAAACTATATGGAATGCTCTTCCTCGGAGAGACATTCAAAATTTACTTGACTCCATACCACGTCGTGTAGCAGCGCTTATTGCGGTGCGTGGTGGCTGCACAAAATACTGATTTCGATCTCTCGTTATCGCTTGTTTGCTTTGAAAGTTTAATCATTTATTTGTACCACTCAACCGTGTAGTAAATTTCATTCAATTATGGCGATTCCTTCATAGTGTTGCAATGATAGTTTTTAAAACAAGATACAACACAAAGTGATACTTTCCAAACGCATATGCCATTTTCTTTTCTATGCAAATTCAGCAACCCTCGTATATACAATCGCACAAAACACGTGGGCAATCCCACAATCCAACAGCAAAACTCTCAAACAAAATTTGGCAAACTTCCAATCACAGCACGTAATTATTATTATTTGCTCCCGGGCGAGTATAAACGTAAATAAAACAAAACGTACTGACAAATTCTGCTACGCCCGATTTTTCTCGGGATGATAAATAGTTGCAAAATATACATACCCGAGTTAACTCGGGATAATCTGGGAAATGGTAAAGACTACAAATTAAAATATTCTTTTTAGCAGTTTTTTCTCAACATTTTCCTTTTAACTTTAAGAAAAAGTTAAGAAAGAGTCGATTTTAAATTATCATAATTTCTCAAAATTATATCTCCCATACTTGGGGCAACCCTTGACCGTCGGGGCAACACCCCCACTGCCCCGGAGTAGTTACGGCCCTGTAGGGTTGTTAGAGTTAGATACTGTAACTTTGCAATTAAGTTTAATGTGGTGTGTTGATATCTTGATATGTAGTGCGATTTGTAAGAAAATGGATCTTATACTTGCGAATAGGAGGTGATAGATATCTATATAACAAGGTGATAGATACAGATTCGAATCTGAGCATGTGTGCTACACCGTAAAATTTGAATATTTTTTTTTTTATTAAAAATTCTTTTTAGAGGCTTTTAATTTTAAAATTTACTTAAACTGGTTTGTAAAACTAGTTTACTAATTTTAGTCTTAAGTGCAAATGAATTTTTTAATATCAGGTTTGAAGTGTCAAGTTTAGATGTTTTTCATGTGACACATGAAAATATATTATTGCTTTGATGTACATAAAAATATTTTAAGAAATATTTTTTTCACGACATAAATATTTACTTACCAAATTTAAATACATAAAAAAAGAAGTATCCTTATTTAAAGCTATAATAATGTTTGATTGACCCGCACATAACAGCACTTTTTTATTATTTCGTTTCGTTTTTATATTCCATATCTTATTTTATTAGCCAAACATCAAAACGCATGAAAGTGTTGCAGATTATGAACGCGGATTATTTAGTTTTTAAAATTATGGTTCGTAAAATATTTTGCTTAGTTTAGCAACAAAAGGGCAATTCTGTATCAAACTCTAAACGAAAAAAAAAACGATATGGAAAATTAAAAAAATAATTGTTTATTTTTTTTCCATTTTTTGATGACAAAGAATTGTTTGAAAAATATAACATTGCTAAATAGGAATCCATGTTTTGTATACTCACCCTAGTATTGTCGAAGCTTGATTTATTCGTGACGTCATAAAGTAAGAGGAGAGCTATTTTAAAAAGAAAAGAAAAAAGATAAGAATGATGGTAATTTACAGTTTGTACTTTAATTTCACTGATGGTCATTTTGAAAGATATAATTAAAATTGTTTTATTATTGTAAACAATGGTGTATTACATTTGTTATTAAAGCAAATGTATTACACCTAAAAGGAGTTGCTGCTTTATAATTCATATTATGCATTGACAATCAACAATTTATGATTTATAAAAAATAAATAAATAAATAGAGGAGTATCATTACTTTCCACTTTAAAAGGAAGTTTCCACTTTTATGATTACTTTCCATTTCAATTTCGTTTCCCATCATAAAATAGGGATACTTTCTCCCGTAAAACAGATACTTTTCTTGATACAAATGATATTTTCCACCATTCAAAATTTTTTTTATGGTGGAAACTTTATATCTGCCAATTATATCTCACTTCGATCATGAATTTTTAAAGTGGTAGTTAAAAGATAATTAAACAAATTTTTTTTAAAAAAATTTCCAGAGCTAAACAGGATTATCTTCTTAGTTTTTCTGCCACCAGACCATTTCTTAAGGACCAAACGAAAGTTGTTTAAAAGATGGCTATCGTATCAGATATATGCATGGAGTGAAATTCGTAATAAAAGTACTTAAACAAAGAAATTATAATGTCAATATGAAAGACCACAATTAGTGATAGTCGACATTAGTGATAGTCGACATAAACATTTTAAAGACACAGAAATGACCGTGCAGGTTACCTACACTGATGTAACTAAGCACAGTTGTTCCCAAGGAATAACAGATTACGACGCAAGCACACGGTGCGACGCACGCGTTACTTATTAGTGTACGCAAAAAACGGCTCCTACTTAAAAAACAGCACTCGTACTTCGATATTTTACAATCCAATTACGATGGGTTTAGGAAAAATATCAGTATTAAAAATACTGGATAGGTGTAGGAATAATAATTTGGCGTGGACACCGGTGTATGTAAGGATAATATCTTCATGTTTTTTATGATTAAAAATACTTGCCCGGTATTCCCTACAATGATTTTAAAAAAAAATTTAAATACCATCGAGCGGTATTCACTCACATGGTATTTCCTTCGCCGATGATTTTCCTAATCTAACTTAATCGGACATTAGAACATTGAATAAGTATTAAAATATCAATGAATAAATCAAGATCAAATAGGACAGAACAATTATTTGTATCTGTTACCGAGAATGACCGAATCAAGAGAATGTCGACTTTCAACGGTGAATGTCAACAATCACAGAGTCACTTTGGCGAATGCCCGAAATATTTGGTATATCTGATTTGATATTAAGTTATTCGTTGATATTATTATATTTATTCGATATTTTATTATCTGCTGAGGACAGATTGAGAGAAACAACAGTGTTCAGAATACTGGTTAAATGCTTACCAGGTACCTAACCTTAAAAAATTATTGATGTAGGGCATACCGGGCAGTGGCACAGAATTTTAAAACTTCAGAGCAGAGAATACCGGCAAGTGTATCCCGGGCAATGACACTCGACTATACCTAGTACATATTTCGGACATATACCAAAGCGACTATGTGGTTGTCGACATTCACCGGAGAAAGTCGACATTCTTCAGATTTCCGTCTTTCACGGTAAAAGTGATACTTGTAATTCTTTTTTTACCGTCGAACAAAAAAAGTATACTTTCACGTTCTCAATAATTCTGAAGTGGTAGCAAGCTTAGTAACAGAGCCAAGAAATTTGCATACATTAATTTAACTGAAACTATAAATATTTAAGTTTGGATAAGAAATGTGGGACTTTTATAAACGTACTGTGGTATAAAATCTTTGCTAAAACTCGTCTAGTTTAAAACACTACAAAAAATAAAAATTCTGTAAATATCGATCCTAAAGTGCTATCAATAAAATTTAAACTTATGAAAATTTCTATACATGATTTTAAAATTAAACTGTTAAAAATTTTATCCTTTAAAGTCAAAGAGTTTGAAAAAAAAAATTCCAGTAAAAAAAGTTTTGTGAGTAATCAACTAAATTGATGCATGAAAAAAAGCACTTAGTTTGCATTTTGCATATTTACATATTTTCATTTTTATTCTTTCATGGCTTAGAAAGAAGAAAAGCTCGCAAGGAGGTGAATGCATTAACTTCAATCGATGAACTTTATTCATGAAGATAACAACAGGAATTGGATTATATCTTATTGTATTAAATATGCAAAAGGCTCGAGTTCAGACGATTTCTCAGATAAAAGCGAGAGTATTTTTAGATAAAATTATTGCAGTTATGCACGTTGGCAACGTAGAGAGTCATGAAATGGATTGTATGGGCATGACGTCATAACAGTAAAAGGGTTTTTAACTTTTCTGTGATTCGAAAAATGTGTTTTCGCTTTGAGAAGAAGTGTCGATTCCCAAGATACTGGATTAAAAACTGTGGAATTCAAGTTACGAAAACTTGAAATAAATTCCATTTCGAATGGAACTACTGCACAATAAACATGATTTATCTTAGCTGGAATCTTTTATATTTTTTTATGAACTCTGGTGAATTTCGGAAAAGTAGTTTTCCGCTTTTTTTAGAACAAGAAAAAAAATCTTTGATACAAAATCAGAAAATATTCCATTATTTCTTAGAATATCTTTCATCCATTGAACATTCGGTACGTACAATTATTGCAAAGAGTTTTTTAAATACATTGACCCTTAACCCTTTAATGGGCCCTTTATTTCTAATAAAGGTAAATTAAAGTGTTTTTGGAATTGAAATTGTTTTAAGAGCAGAAATTGATATAAGAAAAAAAAGCTCATTTAGTTTATAAATAAATGTTATAAATGCTACAAACTTCAAGAGGAATTATGTATTTTATAATTTTTATACGTTGTTTTAAACTAACAAATGGTTACCAATTTTATTCAAACGCTCTTCAAGGAAGCTGAAGTTATTAACAAATGGAAACCAAAATTAAAAGTGGTGGTAAGTATACTTACCACGGTCTTCGAAAGGCTTAATATAAGGAGTATTTCATGGGGAAAATCCATGGAAGAAAAATAATTAAGAAATGGCCAGTTCGGAAAGAGAAGTATACGATTTGCTGTGAAAATCATGCGTTATTCTAAATTGCTGGATTGTACTTTAAAAGGAGGGTAATTTGCAGTGCACTACAAAAGCGACTCTAATATAAAAAACTGATCCGATCTGACTCTGAAATAAAAAACCGACTCTATCTGGCAAATAGGGCTGTCAATGGGCTAAGAAGATTTATTAAATCTAGGTTTCTTTCTAGAAAAACAAAGTTCTTAATCTTCAAAGCTCTTGCCAGTCTTGACATACGTTCTGAAGCTTGGATAATGACAGAACTGGAGGAAAATTGTATCGCAATATTTGAGAGAAAATGTTTGCGGAGTATACTTGGCGGTGTAAATGAAAACAAAAACTCGAGAGGGAGATTTAACTTTGAACTGTACAAGATTTATAAACAACCCGATATTAATAAATACATAAAAATAAATAGAATGAGTTGGATGGCCACGTGATTCGAATGAGTGATGACAATATTATAAAAAATATACTGCTTTTTAGACCCACTGGAACAAGAACGCGAGGAAGGCCACGGTTGAGATGAACTGACTCGGCTGAGTCTGATTTTCTTGGAATTAAAGAAAAGAATTGGAGATCAAAGATAAATCTGAGGTTGTTATGGAGACATCTTCAGAGGAAGGCATTGGCCCACATTGGGCTATTTGGCTAACTATGATAATGATAACAAAAGTTTTTTTAAAATTATGTACTGATTTTTTTAAAAATAATTTTTATTAAATTTAAAACTTTTTTTCTAAGAAGCTTTTTTTAATGTCAATCTCGGACACGATTTATAAAAATAAACTTTTGAGGTGAAAATGTTTGTCGAAAGCTTCAGAGCAGCAGTTCCCAATTTTTTCGGCTACTGAACCCTAAGTAATCAATCTTCGTTTGGTTGAACACCAACTTTATAAGTAAAGTTTAAGGTAACTGAATATTATAACTTATAAAAGACTAAATTTAAAACATTTAATTAAAGGAATGATTATTTTTCATCGTTTTATCATTAATAATCCTAATTAGGTTTTATGCCCGACTGTTAAATTCGCAGTCCTTGTGCTGTATTTAGTCTAGCTATGAATTTGTTTCTGCTGTATATGTCACAGTGAATGACCGAAATCAAGAGAATGTCGACTTTCACCGGTGAATGTCAACAGTCACATAGTCTCAAATATTTGTTGTATCCTATTTGATATTTATTTATTCGTTGATATTATTATATTTATTCGATACTTTAATATCAGCTGAGGATAGATCAGGAGAAACAGTGTTCGGAGTACCGGGCAAATGCATCTTTATCGTTGTTTTCCGAATTACATAGATACAGAAATATATACAGTAGGGAACCGATTATCCGGAACGGTCGGGACCATCGCTATTCCGGATAACTGATTTTTCCGGTTTTCTGAATCGCTACAAAAAGCCGTTTTTTTNACGATTTATAAAAATAAACTTTTGAGGTGAAAATGTTTGTCGAATGCTTCAGAGCAGCAGTTCCCAATTTTTTCGGCTACTGAACCCTAAGTAATCAATCTTCGTTTGGTTGAACACCAACTTTATAAGTAAAGTTTAAGGTAACTGAATATTATAACTTATAAAAGACTAAATTTAAAACATTTAATTAAAGGAATGATTATTTTTCATCGTTTTATCATTAATAATCCTAATTAGGTTTTATGCCCGACAGTTAAATTCGCAGTCCTTGTGCTGTATTTAGTCTAGCTATGAATTTGTTTCTGCTGTTTTTTGTCACCGTGAATGACCGAAATCAAGAGAATGTCGACTTTCACCGGTGAATGTCAACAATCACATAGTCGCTTTGGTGATCGTCCGAAACATTCGTTATATCCAAGTTTGATATTAATTTATTCGTTGATATTATTATATTCATTCGATACTTTAATATCAGCTGAGGATAGA